TGGTTGAAAGGACTCTTGAGAACTTTACGGTGAAACTGCGATTCAGGCAGCAGAAGCAAACCAAATCAATAAAATCTATGTGTACGCTCACATCAGCCACAGTGCAGTGCAGGTATTGTGAAAGGGGATAATACACCCACTGATCCCTTTATGTACATTTTTGTTTTTGAAAATGCTCGTTTGGAGTTAGCTTTTGCTTTTATTACTCTAAATATTTTGTATCCTGCCAAGACTCAACAAATAAGTACCTGTCAGCAAACTATTTAATCTTTGAGGATTTTTTTCAACTTTTTTTTGTGGTTAACTATTTTGTCTTTATAAGAGGACTCTTGTAAAGCTTTTCTTTAGCAGTAACATTTTTTTTTTTTGGTCACCAGCTTGTCTACTAAAAATTCAGGTCAAGAACAAGACAAAACAAGTTCTGCCAACAAATTCAAATTCATGAAATAAAACCTCCAGAATTTCTCTTCTCGTTTTGAAAGGAGATTGCAGCTAATCAGCCTCTTTTGAAACCTAAAACAGGAATTTGAAACTTGATTTCATTTACCAACCCCCTTTCAGTTCCTATTTTTTTTATAACTGCATATGTTTTACATCTGTTTATGTTCTCTTCATCCTCAGACATTCTTCTTATGACTCAGAATATAACCACATGCAATGCTATTTACCGCTATACTCATTTCCTTTTTTGTCAACCTCAAAGTTTCAGATCAAACAAAGTAATAACAAAGTATACAACCTGAAGAAATACAAAAAGTGCTGTTAATTATTTAATTTGGTACGGGAAAAATAAATAATGAAATATGTTTATAATGGTATTGTAATGCCAAAACAAAAATATGTTTTAAGAAACATTTAGAAACCAAAGTTTATCTTGAATTTGGATGAGGTGAATTGAGCTTTAAAACTAATTTAGACAATAGACAATTAAAATGTAGTCAAACCGATTCGCAATACAAATGAAAGAAATGCAAATAAAACATATTTCAAAGCATAATTTGCCAAATGCAAATGAATAATGATTTGGACAACTGATTATTAATATTATGTAATTATTCTTTAAGAAATAAATGATAAATGTATACCTCTCATTGACCATTTTTGAAAGTAAAATAATAAATATTATTATTTTACATTTAAAATGGTGAAGGGAAACATTGTAATTTGCAAAGGGTACCAAAGCTTATGGCAGAGATACAATGGGTGAAATAATTATTGAACATGCCACTATTTTCCTCAGTAAATATGAATAAATTACATTTTTTTACCATATTTTGGTAACAATCCATGCAATCCATACAGACAAAAAATTTGAACCATAGATGTCCAGAAATTTGAACGCACCATTTAAATCTGAAAAACTCACACGGAGAGAAAACACAATTAGAAGAAATTTATTGATATAATTACTTAGTATTTGGCGCTCAGACCTCGTCAGGAAACATATGCTGACTTTTGATAGATATGCATGAACAGGAGTAAAGAACAGGGTTGTTCCCCCCCAGGCCAGAAACTAGTGGTGGAGTGGAAATAGATGAAGTTGGTCAGTCTGTAGTGTTCTGTTGAGCGAACCTGTCAAAAATGAGCACGTATGAAGTGACAGTGGAGAGGAGAACCAGGCTCAACATGGCGGTCTTCTGCTGGACCGATTGAAATGAGACGCAGAATGCAGTCCAAGATTAATGATGCTCTGATGAAGCTTTAGCTACGATGGTGGAGGAGGGGCTGGAGGTGATTTGAAACGGGGTCATCTGAAGGAAGTCACACGGTGCATCCACTGCCTGCGCACTACGTAGCAGATGAGTTGCGGATCAGAGGCCTTTTAAGATGAACTTTGGATGCTGATTGGATTTCATGGAGGTGTGGTTCAAAGCTGATTGGCTGTGTTGCAGGTGGATGCAGGAGAGCAATCAGTTTATTCAGTTGAACTTCCGCCTAGGCTCCATTAGTCTTAAAGCACTGTGAAAACAATGGTGGCCAAAGGTGCACACACTGTAAATACATTATTTCACAGCATGTTCAAAGTTCCTAATAACTTGAACCTTAGATAAGCAAAATATGGACTATAAAACACAACAAAATCAGCCCATGAAAGCAGCATTCTTTACTTGGCTTCTTGACTCCTTTTGCTTCCTAAAGCCAACACCAATGGTCCAGATTGAACGATGTTCACCCTTTTTTTGCTTGAATCTCAGAAAATGTAACAGAGAAAAGAGGCTATTTCTAAGCTAATTTCTTGATGAGGTATTGCAGGTATCAGGCTGGGTGGCAGGAGGTTAAACTGTATCATAGATTAAATGATTATTTAAAAAAATTGATGTCTCGATATCAATATTTTTGATGGTCTAAATTAAGTGAAAAATAAAAACAAAATAACTTTAAGAGGCAGATTTGTTTTCACTGTATTCTATAGTTCACAGACATGAAGACTACTAATATGTTGCAACAAGACATTACATAAATTATGTCATCACAAGACTGAGGGCCGTTTTTTCTGCATGATTTCACAACTTATAGAACCTATAGACAAAGTTCTGAAAAGATTCAAGTTTGTCGAAAGGTTTGTCCAATAGGGTACCTGACATTACTGAAGAATATTAACATCATATCTGTAGTAACTTATGAATCATATGATCAATTTTGAGTTCAGTTACAGCATTTAAATTTGTATAATGTTAATAAAAGTATGGAAGATGTTGAGAGAAAAACATTGAATGATAGAAAGCATTTGAGGAAGTGTCACCAGACAGCACGTGTTGGCTCTTGTTTTCTCTTTCTCTGAGCTAATGTTTGGGCATGATTTTATATTCAGTCATTGATATAGATTTTAGCACTGTTGTTTATTATGTAGTACTGCTCTTTTAAAACTCTTCAAAAAAACACAGCTTAGCATCTTAGACTTAAGTTTATCTTAGAATCGGATTTTTTATGGTAGAGCTTAACTTGTCAGTCTCTCTTAATAATCCATTCACCTTGTCATCTCTAATTTCTTTTCAGAAACGTCCTGCTTTTAAATTTTCCTTATTGACATTAAAAAAAAAATATTTTACAGCTTTGTTAGTGGAAAATAAACAGCACACTTTAGTAGCATCTGCAGTAAATGCTGTACCAAAATGATGGATCTGATTTAAAAGAGACATGTTAAGCAGAGTTGTCAAGTAAGTAAAGTACAAATACTTCGTTACTGCACTTAAGTACACTTTTTTAGGTATCTATGCTTCATTACTTATTTTTCCCCCTACTTCTGACTTCTACTCTTTACATTTTTACACAAGTATCTGTACTTTCTATTCCTTACATTGTTAAAACAAATGTTACTCTTTACTTTTGGCTTAGGTTTAATGTAGAGGTCACGGATTAGCGGAGCACGGTCCGGATCCGGACCCACCTGCTGGCTAATCCGTGACCCAACCTGTTTTAAAACATTTATAAATTACTGCATGTTGTCTGTTGACAGTGTCTAAACGTCACTTGCGCCGCTTCTCCTGTTACCCCGAAATCCCACATCCTCTGCAGCATCCAGACCTCCTGCACAAAGCAAAGCCCACAGCCTCCGCTGTTCCTCCCGTATTGCTGCACTTCGACTTATCCTCGGAGCTCGAGGAGAGTATGCACGATATTATCATTAAATTCGTAGGAGTATGTTTGGCTCAACCTGCTGCTGTGAAGCAGGATTCTCCACCATGAACAGAATCAACAATAAATCTGGATCCAGGCTCAAAATGAGCTCCTTGATATGTGCTTGAGAATGGCTTAGTCTCCATTAAACCCAGGTTTAAAGCCTTGCAGGGCAGCCTAAAGCCCACTGCCAACATTAAGACAGAAAAAAGAAAGAAACGGTCAGTTCAGGTGTTTGATAAAATATGTGAATCAGGAAATTGTCTATACAGCAAACTGAAAGATTGCGGTTCCCTGCTTCAAAAAACACTTAAGATTTTAAAATGTAATTTTTTTTTTAAATATTTTTTTATTTAAAAATTCAATCCATAACATGGATGCATAAACATGTAATTTTATTTCAGTGTTAAATTCAGTTTAAAGTATCAGATTATAATTAAAAATGTCTCCGGACCTTTACTGGTTGATGATTTTCTTTATTCAGACGCGCTGATTTTTAATTGGTTACCCCTGATTTAATGTTTATAAATATTTATTTCCCGTCATGTGCTCCATCTAATGCAGATCATTGGCTCCATCCACATCTAGTGAAAACTAGTGTGATTGGATGAGTTATATAACGCAAACACTCATTGGTTAGCTAAAGGAAATCATCAGAAGCAAGCAGGTGTTCTTCAAACTGCTAACGTGAATTGTCTATGCCATGCTACAATGTGGGATTCAGAAAAAGATGTTGAAATGTCTGACAGGTCGGACACAACCACAAAACAGGAAATAACCTCAGTGAAAATTTCTGGATAATCACTACACATTTAAATTGGTGGATATTTCTAAACAACTGTGTCATTTCTTTATTTTTTTGGATAGACAGTTCAAGGTAAAATAAACCAATTTGATCAAAATCCCAATAAGACTCTCCTTTATAGTACAAACTTCTATTACTTAATGATAGATTATATCTTTTTTCTTGGTACTAAGAAAGTTCTTTATTGCTGATAGTAAAGGGGAAAAACCAAAATGTTACACATTAATAAATGGTTAAAATATATCAAACATGATTGGCTTTCTTTTACACTACAGACTCCAATTATTAACCATGTAATTTAAAGTTTTTTAATTGGTAATAAAAATGCACTTATGTACTGGAGTTTCTCTATGAAGAGAATGAGTAAAACAGCACAAACCAAATAGTTTACGTGGTAATAGTTCCATAAAAAGTGGTGGCTTTCTTTTACAGTTCATATTCTTACCAATTAATTATATGTGTTTTACTTGGTAATATTAATATTAGTTTTGTTAGTATTCAAGAGTTAAAAAACATTCTAAATAATATAAATTAGTAAGCAATAATACTTCAATACCAAAGAAAGAAAGGCTTGATTGATTTTACAGTCTAATTTCATAGTATTTACCAAGCAATTTACTCAATTTCATCTGGTAAAATGTGCTAATTTTGCCAGTCATCTAGAAAAAACAGGTAACTTTATAAAACTGAACTCAAGTTACATATAACTAACAGTTTAGTTATGAAGATTGGCTTCCTGTCTTCTACGTTTGGTTTTCTGTTATATAATAAGAAATTAACTCCATTTTCCAAGATAATAACAATCGTTTATTGATTTTGGTTAAATGAATTAATTAAATTACCTGGTAATAACTGTTTGACATCTAAGCAGTCTGACTTTACGTTGTGCCAAAAATTTGAACCATAGCACTTGCCTGATTATAAGTTACAAATTACTTTGTAATCCATTGGTAGTTGGAGGGCAAATAATAGAAAGTGTTATGTGGTAACCTGATGGTAATTACTCACCAAAATTCTCCACTGTTACGTAGTATTATACAATTGTTATAATTGCTTTGGAATTATATACCTTCATTTTGGGGTAATTATCTAATAAAAAGGTTATTGTTACCTAGTAATGTACTGTAACTTGTTATATTATTACCATTTTATTACATGATTATTGATGTACTTTAAAAGAAAGCATTACCAATAAGTCTGTCTGTTTTCAGCCTGGTTGGCAGTGGATGTGAGAAGAAAACAGTCCAGTGTGGAGTGATGAAAATTCCAGAGATCAGTGCAAATTCAGACAGAGGAGCGTGCACACAGGTAGAAACCAGGGGGAATAACACAGCAGAAAAATTCTTCAGGTAGTCAGTTGAGATAAATATGAAAGCAGATAACAGGGAAAACGCAATCATCAAGGTGAGGAGATAAAAAACAAATCTAGCTAATAACAGGAGTAAACTCAGAGACATGACAGGAGGCTGAGAGCGACCAACAACATTAATCATCCAGCGCTGACTTGAAGCTCTGCAGCATGTTCCCGCCTGGTGCAGAATAATTACTGTAGCTGTTAGTTGGCTAGCTTGCTGGCTAGCTGATGTACCAAATCTTATTCTGATTATGAGTTTTTTGCATATCTTAGTGCTGTGTTGGTTACTTCGTTCACTCTGCTTTTCATCTCTTCCAGTTTCTTGACTTTCCTCAGGTCGCCTTTTTCCCTCATCTTCTCTATCAGGAAGTCCAAATGGACCAAAGTTGACACTGATTCAACTTTCAGGGCGATCTTTTCCAGTCTGATAACATGACTGTAGGCCTCATCCAGCAGCAACAACCATTTTGAAGTCAGGTTGATATTTTCCTTCTCAAGGTTTTCCAATAGAGTCAACTTTTTCTCACATTCAGCTTTATTCTTTTCATATTTCTCCCTCACATCCTCCAGGGTCTTCTGAACTTTTCTTGTCTTTATTTTATATCTCCAGTTTTCTTTCACATGAACTGATGCAGGACACTTGTTGGTACAAACTGTGCAGCGCCCATCCTTCATGACCTCACAGAGTTCTGGGCTCCAGGCTATTGTGCATCCAGGATAGTGACAGTTCTCCTCACAGACAGAACAGGTGACAGCTCCTTCATAAAACACCAACAACCACATTCCTCCTCTGATACTTTTTTTTTTCTTGTAGACACCATCTACTTCTATAGAGAACTCTTCATTCTTCTTCATTTGCTCTTGATATTTATTATAAGCCTCTTTGATCTTTTGGATTTCGTTCTGCTTCAGTTCAATCTCCTTGATTCTCTGCTGCAGGTTCTGGATGCAGGCTGTCAGTTGGGTGCGTTCCTTCAGAACCTCCACAGTTGTCTTCAGTTTCTGAGGTTCGGTTTCATCCAGAAACAACATGAACTCTTTGAATCCCTTTAGTGATGTTTGATAGGCAATTTTCAGAAGTTCTCGGTTTTTTGCTCTGTCCTCATGTTGGCAATTGTTAAACACAAAATAAATAAACTCACGGTTAGAAGATTTAATATTTGCTGCTTCCAGAGCCTGAAGAGCATTTCTGGGATTTCTTCCATCAGAGTGAGTGATGAGAGCTACTATGTTTTCCTCCAGGTCTTTTCCAAACAGAGACGTCACTGAATTTAAGACGTACATCAGTCGGTCACTTAGACTATTATCAGTTGCCTTTATCACCAGACCCACTGCATTGATCTCATGAACTTCCTCTGATCGAAACAATTCTAAAAGTATTTGACTGACTTTTTCATCATGCTGCAGTCCTCTCATGTATCCAAATCCAGGAGTGTCAATGATGGTAAGAGACGAGGACAGAATTTGACCTTTAAAATCAAAGATCTGATAGATGATCACATCTGATGTCTGAGTCTCAGTTTGACATCTCCCCTCCTCCTCTTCTACAATCTGAAACCAAACATCATCCTCAAACATCACTCCTATTGCATAGTTAACCAAAGTGTTGACTAAGGTCGATTTTCCTGCTCCTCCTTCACCAACCAGTAAGATGGTTTTATTTCTTTGCCTTTCATGCTTGTTCCCTAAAGTCGCTCTTGTCCATCTAGAAAACCTTTCTTTCTTTGTCTTGAACAGCAGGACTGCAGGACATCCTGAAGAGGTGATGGTAACTTCTGAAGTCATACCACTGATCCTGTAAAAAAGGAAGGATGTGATAAATCGCTATTCACATTAGTTGTTATATTACATTGCATTAGTCAATTAAATGGCTCATAGTAGAGCAATCTGTAGTTTTAACACTGATGTTTATAAGCACCTGATATACCTACAACTTCAAACAATAAACAAGTTAACAAAATCCAACAAAGACGTTACTATTCATATTGACAAAAGAAAGACCATTTACGGCTTAAAGACTAAAAAGATTTGTTTTGTTTCTTTTCAGTTCCAAAACAACACTTCAGAATGTTTTGTTGCCAAAATGCATTTCTTTTTTTCCTTTTTATTCTTTAAAGCCTTTCACACTGGCCGAAAAAAACAGTTTGAAGCCGGGAACAATTGACTTTTAGTGGCAGGGGGACACTGACCCATGTCTTCCTGGGTCAGAAGTCTCATCAAGAAACCCATGTTAAAATCGCCTCTGCTCTGATTGACCACCAGAGCTGCTGGGGTAATTTGCAACTCATTAGGCCACCTTTTGTCATGCTCAGAATAGGATCCAGTATTCAAGGCGGACAATCAGATTTCTCAAAACGTTTATTGGAAATTGAACTGCAGTGAACAGTGTTGGCCTCTAAGGCAGGAACCTCTGCAGGAGGAGACAACAGGTTAGTGACCAAGTCTATCTGGTGGAGGATGGCAATGGACGTGTGAGTCATAGCTTGCTCTTATAGTTCTGTCTGAGTCCAGATAATGAGGTTGGTTCCAGCCTGTCGGCTGCAAAACACGTGGGCTCCGTGGTGGTGTCTGGTGTCTTAGACATGCTCAAGGGTCACAGCCAGGAGATCAGAGATGCTAAAGGGATCTAGAACAGAGCCGTGTAACAGTTCCAGGTTCTGTTCACAGACATAAGGAGATCCGTCAGGTGTCCGAGACAGGTCAGCCAAACAGATCAGAAGGTCCAGAGGCAGAATGGGTCAGGATCAGGTAATCAGAATACAGTAATTCTAGAAAACTTCTCACCAAGGGCCCGGAAATAATCTGGCACTGATTATTGGTGTGAAGGCTGGTTAATACGGAAGTTTTAAAAAATTTCCACTGGACTTCACCTCCAGGAAGCTTTCTCAATTCGAATTGAGAAAGCTTCCTGGAGGGGAAGCGAAACGTCTTCAAACCTTGGTAACCAAGACGAGTGGATTGTTGTTAAACTTTTAAGGAATGACTATGACCTGGATGGCTGAGAATCGTCATCAGCATACCAGTTTAAGTTTTGCCACCATTTCTGGTATAAAAAAGACTGAATCCAAGTGTTATAGGCAATAGTGTAGAGCTGTATCAATAAACTTTGTGAATTATCTTGAAACAAATATCACCTATGGTATAAATAATGGTATAGAAATAACAAAATAATACTGCCTATAATATCTAGTAAAGTAATAGTACAAACATAATTTCATATGGTATGTGTCATGATGGGTGTCACAGAGAGTAAGCCCAAGATGCAGAAAACACACGGAGGCACTGGTAAAAGTCCAAAGAGTTTATTAAAGTCACAAGCACATGAATCACAGTTCAGGCAAGGGACTGATTCGCTGGGGTCTGTGCGGGGAAAGGGAGATGGCTGGATTTGAGCTTCCAGCTCTTAGGGAAACTCCACAGGGGAAGTCGTCAGGTAGCATCCACGTAGAATTCTTGGGTTGGCTCACCAGGGCAGATTAGCAGGTTAGCTTTCCTAGAGCGTCAGGCTTGGGACTGGCTTCCTATGATGCAACTCTCCCAGAGCTGCAGGCCAGAGACAGGTTGCCAGAGAGACAGTTCTTCCAGAGCGTCACAAGGAAACAGGAGGTTAAGCTCATCCAGAGCTTCACGAGGAGACAGGGGGTTTAGCTCATCCAGAGCTTTCACGAAGAGACAGGATTCCTGTGAGGCAGAGACAAGGAAGAATTAGAATCTGATCTCACACGAGAGATAACAAAGATTCATCTGTAACAGAGGCTCAGGAAGCTAACCAACTAAGATCAACACTGCGGCGTGGAATCCAGGTCTGAAGGCAGCTTAAATACTGTGGTCCTCCTGATTAGTAGATCAGCCACAGGTGTGTGAGAGGCTCAGCTCAGGAGGACCCACGGCGCACTCTGCTGGAGGCAGAGGGTAATCTCCAGAACCTGACAGTGACTCCAGCCCTAAGGAAAAGACAAAGAGAGCAGAAGAGGATCCTCGGCGCCCTCTGGTGGGCAAGCCTGAGGATCCCAACAGTATGGGTATATCCTTATTACCAATGAATCAAATAATGTTGACGAAATTAATGCAGTAATTATAGTTTTGAGGTATATTTCACAATATGAGTTGGAAACAAGTTGCGTAGTAGAGGTTTGCGCTATTTGAGTGCCTTTCTAGTTCCAATTTATCTATACTCAAAACCTCAACAAACAAAACTTCTAAATATGGTCCAGATGGTCCAGATCTACTACACCAGGCGGGACCCAAGGTGTAGACATTGGACATTAAAAAGTCATAATTATGAGTCAAAACCAAAGAAAATGGCATTGTTATTGTAAACAGGGAAAACATGCCATCTCCATGCAGAAAGACCCCGAAATCGAAGTCGGAACCTTCTTAAAGCAAGGCAGCAGTGCCACCCACTGCTCCACTGTGCAGTCCAGCTTTAAACATACATATATAAAATGGTAATTCTTTGTGAGAAGCAACAAAAAGTTGAACAAAATTATGAAGTGGAACAAAATTGGATATTTTAAACTTTTTTAACAAATAAACTGAAAAATTGGGTGTGCAAAATGATTCAGCCCCCTCAAGTTTAGTACTTGGAGACATCAAGAGACTTTTGCCATTCTTCCTGGCAGAACAGCTTGAGTTCAGTGAGGTTGGATGGAGAGCGTTTGTGAACAGCAGCTTTCAATTATTTCCATAGATTTCTTAGATTCTTCCCTTTTCCTCCTGAAGAAAAGCAGGCCCAAACCATGATGCTGCCACCACTATATTGGACAGTGGGGATGGTGTTTTCAGGGTAATGAGCTGTGTTGCTTTTATACAAAACATAACATTTTGCATTGTGGCCAAAAAGTCTGATTTTGGTTCCATCTGACCGGAGCTCCTTCTACATGTTTACTGTGTCTCCCAGTTGGTGAAGCGTCCCGGTTGAAAAGATGGTCTCTCAAACCGATGGTTCACAATTCCTTTTTATTGAATAGCCTTGCTTTTGAACACACCATAAGAGCCACAAAATACACAAATACAATCCACATTAGTAACACAGTATGTTGACTTTAACCTTTTTTTTACGTCATCAATGAATCATTTTTAACCTTAAATTATTACAATCTTTTTAATCTGGACAATCCTTACCTTTTGTGCTATCACCATATTTTGCCATGTATATTTATTAAACCCTTTAGCATAGTATTGTATAATGCCTCGTACCATGAAATAGAAGAAAATGCATAATAATGTAGCCATCTGTGACTTCATATAGTATGCAATATTACTATTCACAAACATTTGTGTTGCATATTGCAAACTTAACAGAGAACCGTCTGGTGGACAAAGAAAATGTAACTACAACAAATATAACCTAGCAGCAACCTGTAAGCTACGTGAAATATGACAAAATATGAATTCAAAAAGCAAACATTGATACAAACCTTGTTCCCTCATCCACCAGGTGCTAAGGACCCTTTGCAAATCAAAATGACTCCGTGACAATATGCCCTTTCTCTTTTTAACTTTAGAACACAGCTTATCTCTGCCCGTCAGTGTTCACACCACTGCTGTACACACTGCGACAATCCTGCTCTAGGCCTTTCACAGTAAAAGCATGGACTGTATTTTCACGACTATAAGGCGCACATTAACGTCTTTTTTTCCCCTCAAAATGTGTGGTGCGCCCTATGTGTGTTGTAACTGCGACTTTTGAGACCACCTCATTGAGGAGATGATGAAAGAGTGGCTGAGGGAGGTGAATGTAAGGAGACCAGGTGGGTTTTTTCCACTCATCACCATCGCTGTTAATCTGTGACTCCATGCGTGCCCATCTCACAGCTGATGAAAAAAACATGGTGAAACAAATGAATGCTGTGCTTGCTGTTATTCAACCGCTCGACATCGGTGTGAACCGGACGCAGCAGGCGCAGCAGAAGCAGCGAGTTTACATGCAAAGTCAATGGTTGACGCGCGTATAGGCGCAGCAAAAGGTTCCGCAGCGCGTTTTGAGCAGCAGGCGCTGCTGCTGCTCGAGATGGAAAAATTTAAGTTTTGCTGCTGGAAGCGCCGCATCAACCAATCAGAGAAGCTGATCTGGGAGCTGACAGCGAGACAGACACATCGCTCTGATGACATGATATTAAGGCAAATGAAAAGGGCTGGATGGATGAGGAGATGATGAAAGAGTGGCTGAGGCAGGTGTATGTGAAGAGACCAGGTGTTTTTTTCCACGCATCACCATCGCTGTTAATCTGTGACTCCATGCGTGCCCATCTCACAGCAGATGTGAAAAACATGGTGAAACAAATAAACGCTGTGCTCGCTGTTATCCCGGGAGGTCTTACAAAGGAACTTCAACCGCTCGACATCGGGGTGGGATCGATGGATGACAGACTGAGACCACAGTTTAACAAAAAGTGGAAGGCAGCGCCGGGCAAGTTACGCCACCGTTTGTGGATGGATTGTTGATGCTTGGACTAACGTGTCTGCTGGCTCTGTTGTTCGAGCTTTCGCAAAAGCCGGCATTATTTCTGGGGAAATTGGCATGTCTGATTTAGTGCAGCTGTTTAATTCAGAAACAGAAGATGATGACTTTGATGGGTTTGATTAATACTTTGTAATAAATACATTAATAAAGCACAATCATACTCAGTTTTGCTCCCGCTCTATTTTTCTACCTGAAAACTTAATTCAACAGCAGCCTCTGGGCGGGTCTCCTCCTCTTCACCGCGGCGCTGGCAGGTGTTTTTTCATCTAAATAATCTAAATCTTTCAGCTATATTTGCTGCGATCAGTGGGAATAAAGTAGTTTTATTATGTTTTTTAAGTGAGAAAGTCCACCCGAAAACTTAATAATGTCATGATGGGTTCACTGAAAGCGACCCAAGAATGCAGAACACCACTGACGGACACAGGGATGAAAGTTTAACAAGTTTATTTATGCACAAGCACACAGATTGTACTGGTTCAGGTTCGGGGCCTGGATACTGGTTCACCGGAGTCTGCGTGAGAGACAGATCAGTTAGAGTTGCCAACAGGGGTTTGATTTCCTGAAGTTCACTGATTGTACCTTGAGGGTTCTTGAGGTTAGCTTTGGGAGAGTCTCTGTTGGATCTGGAGAAGAGTTCTTCAGCAGAGTCCGTTTGCTGCTTCAGCGTCTTACGTCTACAATGAACAGAACTTGGCTTTGGGATTCCCAGCTCTAGTCCAGAGCTGCTTGGAGATTCTCTGAGAATTCTTCAGGTTTGGCTCTGAGGGTCGGCTCGGCAGCTTAGCTCCTCCTGAGCTTTCACTGAGGAGACACAGGTTTCCTAGAAGACAGAGACAATGGTTAGAATCCTAGCTGGATTCAAAAGTCATAGAGTTTACACTGAGGATCTAGGCTTAAGCGCTGACCAACTGGAACAACACTGCGGCATTGAGGCAAGGTCTGAAGACAGCTTAAGTAGTGGATCCTCTGATGATCTTGATGAGCTGCAGCTGAGCAGGAGGCTCCCTCAGAGGATCCACGGCGGACTCTGCTGGAGAAAGGTGGAATTTCTCCAGCTCCCAACAGTACCCCCCCCTCAACGACTGCCCCTTGGCGGTCCGGAACAGGTTGATGGGCAGGAACGCTCGTACTCCTCGATAAGGGCAGGATCGAGGATGTACGAGCCCGGAACCCACTGGCGATCCTCCGGTCCGTAGCCCTCCCAGTCGACGAGGTACTGCCATCCGCGACCTCGTCGACGGGAGTCCACGATGCGGCGCACTGTGAAGGCCGGATGGCCATCGACCTCCAGGGCGGGTGGTGGGGAGTCGGATGGTGGGCACAAAGGGCTCGAAGAAACAGGCTTGATCTGGGACACGTGGAAGGTAGGGTGGATTCGGAGGGACTGAGGTAATTGGAGACGGACGGCAGAGGGGTTGATGACTCGAGTGATCTTGTAGGGCCCGATGAACCTAGGAGAGAGCTTTCGAGACATCCCCTTGAGGGGAATGTCTCGAGTGGACAGCCATACCTCCTGGCCCTCAGTGTACTCGGGGGCGGGACGTCTCCTGGCGTCGGCGAAGCGTTTTATGGACTCTGATGACTGGTTGAGGGTGGAGATGGTTTCCCTCCAGATTCTTTGGCAACGGCGGATGTGTTGGTTTACGGACTGGACCGAAATCTCTCTCTCGTCTGCGGGGAAAAGAGGTGGTTGATAGCCGAGACTAACCTGAAACGGGGATTGTCCGGTGGATGCAGATCTGAGGGAGTTATGTGCGTATTCTATCCAGGGGAGAAATTGGCTCCAGTCCACGGGATTGTTCGAAGTGAGGCAGCGAAGGGTTGATTCCAACTGCTGGTTCATTCTCTCAGTCTGACCATTAGATTGGGGGTGGTAACCAGAGGTGAGAGAGGGTTTGCAGCCGAGAGCAGAACAGAAAGCCTTCCAGACCTGGGAAATGAACTGTGGACCCCTGTCCGAGAGGATCTCTTGGGGAATGCCGTGTAAACGGAAAACATGCTTGATGAGGAGCTGGGCTGTCTGGAAGGCCGTGGGAAGTTTTCTAAGGGGAATAAGATGGCAGGATTTCGAGAAACGGTCAACAATGGTGAATATGGTGGACATACCTCGAGAGACGGGGAGACCGGTGACGAAATCAATGGCGATATGAGACCAAGGGCGCGAGGGAACGGGAAGCGGCTGAAGCAGGCCAGAAGGAGGTTGGTGTGAGGCTTTGTTACGGGCGTATGTGGGGCAAGCCAACACATACTCCTTGACGTCCCTATGGAGAGTGGGCCACCAAAAGCGTCTTGAGATGAGGGCTACAGTTCTGCTGACTCCTGGATGAGCAGAGAACTTGGCAGCATGCATCCAATGGATGAGACGGGACCTGACGGAAGATGGGACATAGGTTCGGTTAGTGGGACCGTTACCTGGATCGGGTTCAGTGGCCAGGGCTGAGTTGATGAGGTCAGTTATTTCCCAGTTGACCACCCCCACTGTGCAGGAAGCCGGAAGAACAGGTTCAGGTGTCTCGGGATGATCGACGGAGTAGAGACGGAGAGAGAATCGGGTTTGACATTCTTGGATCCGGGTCTGCAGGAGATGATGAGATTGAACCGAGAGAAGAAAATTGACCACCTGGATTGGCGGGGATTGGCTTGCTTGGTTGACTGGATGTAAGCCAGGTTCTTGTGGTCAGTCCAGACTAGAACCGGATGCTCAGCTCCTTCCAGCCAATGTCTCCATTCTTCCAACGCCAGTTTAATGGCCAGAAGCTCTCGGTCACCCACATCATAATTTTGCTCTGCGGAAGAAAGTCTACGGGAGAAGAATGCACAAGGGTGGATCTTTTGATCGGAGTCTAGTCTCTGGGATAGGACTGCTCCAACTCCAGAATCTGAAGCATCCACCTCGAGAATAAACTGCTTCGCTGGATCAGGTTGTATAAGCACTGGTGCTCTGGAAAACAAAGATTTTAGTTTGTCAAACGCAGCCTGAGGCTCAGGAGTCCACTGAAAGATGCGTTTGACAGAGGTCAGAGAAGTTAATGGAAGGGCGGTCTGGCTGTAATTTCTGATGAACCGACGATAAAAGTTTGCAAAACCAAGAAATCTTTGTAGCTGTTTGCGGTTTTCTGGAACTGGCCAGTCTAAACTGCCTTTATCTTGTCCTCAGATGGTTTTACCTGGCCGCCCTCGAGCACAAACCCCAAAAAGGTGACTGAAGGCTGGTGAAATTCGCACTTCTCGGCTTTCACGAACAGCTTGTTCTCCAGTAGTCTCTGCAAAACAAGGCGAACATGTTTCTTGTGTTCATCTAGGTTCTTGGAGTAAATGAGTATGTCTTCTATGTACACGAAAACAAATACATTTAGAAAGTCTCTGAGAACATCATTCATGAGGGCCTGGAAGCAGGCTGGAGCGTTAGTTAGACCAAAGGGCATTACCAAATATTCAAATTGGCCCAAGGGTGTTTTGAAGGCTGTTTTCCATTCATCTCCTTCTCGGATCCTAAGGAGATGATAAGCGTTTCTTAAATCCAGTTTCGAAAACACCGTGGCTCCCTGTACGGGCTCGAATGCAGAAGCGAGGAGAGGAAGTGGGTATTTATTTTTAACTGTGATCTGGTTCAAACCTCGGTAATCAATACATGGTCTCAGGGAACCATCCTTCTTCCCCACGAAGAAGAACCCGGCGGCCAAAGGAGAGGAAGATGGGCGGATAATTCCTGCAGCTAGAGATTCGTTGATGTATTTTTCCATGGTTTCTCTTTCAGGCTTGGAAATATTATACAATCTGCTGCTGGGTAGAGGAGCACCAGGTAAAAGTTCATTGGCGCAATCGTATGGTCTGTGTGGAGGAAGGGACGTCGCACTGACCTTACTGAAGACAGGGGCTAGGTCATGGTACTCAGGAGGAACTGAAGAAAGGTCAGGAGAGTCCATCTCCCCCCCACCTCTAGGAGACCCCACCAAGGGGGCAGCAGAACGAAGGCATGTTTCATGGCATGAGATGGACCATGATTCCAGGTGACGTTCAGTCCAGTTAATGTGAGGATTATGCTTCTCCAACCATTCGAAACCGAGCACCAGCGGGGAACATGC